AAATAAAGATGATTAGTTAGACGTAAGGAGTATTAGTTTTACAAAGGGATCATTAGTTTTAGCTAGGGATCATTAGTTATACATCGGGATCATTAGTTCTATATAGGGATCATTAGTTCCACATATTGATCATGGTTTTTAAATATGGGATGGGTATTTATCTATAGGGATCATAAACTAGATATAAGGATAGATGGTGCTTAACAAGGTCATAAATTAGTTAGACATAGGGACAGTTAATTCTATTCTACAAAGGGGTCTTTAGTTTTGTTATGCAATTTTAGTTCTACACAGGGACAACTATTTCTACGTAGGGATCATTAGTTCTACACTGGGATCATTATTTCTACTTAGGGATCAATATTTCTAAATAGGGACCATTGGTTCTTCATAAAGATCATTAGTTCTTTATAGGGATCATTAGTTATTCATAGGACCATTACTTAGTCATAAGGGTCATTAGTTTTACATAGGGATCCTTAGTTCTACATAGGGATAATTAGTTCTACATCGAGATCATTAGTTCTTTATAGGGATCATTAGTTATTCATAGGACCGTTACTTAGTCATAAGAGTCATTAGTTCCACATACGGATCCTTACTTATACATAGGGATCATTAGTTCTAAATTGGGAACATTATTTTTTCATAGATATATTAGTTAGACATAAGGATGTTGGTCTTATATAGCGATCACTAGTTTTAGCTAGGCAACATTTGTTCTAAATAAGGATCATTAGTTATATATAGGGATCAATAGTTAAACATAAGGATCATTAGTTTTACATAGGGATCTTTAGTTATAGCTAGGGATCAATGTTTATCTATAGGGATGATTATTTAGAAATAAAGATCAATAGTTCTGAATAAGTTCATGAGTTGTATAAAGGGATCCTGAGTTATACATACGGATCTTTAGTTAGACATAAGGATCAATAGCTCTACATAAGGATGATTAAATCTACACCGGCATCTTTAGTTCTACATAGGGATAATTAGTGTTACATAGGGATCACTAGTTAGACATGAGGGTTATTAGTTTTGAATAGGGATCAGTAGTTCATCGTTGAGATAATTATTTCTTCATAGGGATCGTTAGTTCTAAATCGGGATCACTAGTTCTACATAGGGATCATTAGTTCTAAATAGGGATCAACAGTTCTGCATAGGGATCCTTAATTTTACATATCAATCAATGTTCCTCTACAGGGTTCATTAATTAACATAGAGATTATTAGTTCCAAAAAGGGATCGTTAGTTCTAAATAGGTATCATTAGTTATACATAGGAATCATTTATTTTACAAAGTGATCTTCCTTCTATATAGAGATTATCAGTTCCAAATAAGGATTATTAACTATACATAGAGATAATTAGTTAGACATAAACATCAATAGTTTTACATAGTGATCAGTAATTATACATATTGATGATTAGTTATCTATATGGATATAGGGATCTTGATAAAGACATAAGGATCTTAATTCTATATAAGTTCATTGCTTATATTTAGGGATCCTTAGTTATACATAGGGATCATTAGTTAGACATAAGGATCATTAGTTCTAAATAAGGACAATAAGTTGATTACAAGGATCGTTTGTTATAGTAAGGATAGATGTGCGAAACAACTGGAAAATTTTTCATAGCTGTAATTTGAACAATACGAACTTTTTACGAACAATTCAGTCTACTGAATTATCTACGTTTTCATAGCTTGAATAACTTGTACATAAAATTTGAAACTTTTGCGAGTCGATTCGGTGTGTGAAATATCTCGAAGTTTTTCAATGGTTCTTGGATTGAGTAGCTTGATTAGAAAAACTTAAGACTTTCTTACGAACCGACTCTGTCTATGAAAAAACGTGACATATTTCATAGCTTGCTTAGAAAAAAAAAACTTTTTCGTAAACCGATTTGAATTGTTTCATAGCCTAAAAAACTTGTTTAGAAGAAACATGAGTTTTTCGTGACCCGAATCGCTCCATGAGATAACGTGAACTATTTTATGAAAAAGTTGCTGAGAAAAAGTTAAAACCGATTTGGTCTTTGAATCAAATTGAAGCATTTCAAAATTTGAATGGCTTGTTTATAAAAACTTTAAAATTTCCCAAATTGATTCGATTTACCAGATAATTTCATTTATTTCATAGCTCAAAAAACTTGCTTAACAAAACTCAACTTTTTTACGAAGCGATTCGGTGGATGAAATAATTTGAAACATTTCAAAGTTTCTTGAATGGAATAGTTTGCTTAAAAAGAGTTTTTATGAACAATTTGGTCTATGAAATCTCTTGAAATTTTTCAAGTATCGTAGCTTGCTTAGAACTTTTCAAACTTTTGCCAACCGATTCGCTCTATGAAATAACTTAAATTATTTCATGGCTGGAATAGCTTGCTTAGAATAACTTATAATTTTCGCAAATCGACTCGGTCTATAAAATATTTTGATTTTTTAATAGTTTCTGTAGTTTGCCGAAGAAAAACCTATTTTTTGTGAGCCGAATTGAATCAAAGTTATATAGCTTGAAAAGAAAAGTTTGAATATTTCGAGATCCAATTCGCTCTATGAATTGAACGGAAGTTTTTCGAAGTTTTGTGGATTGTATAGCTTGCTTTGCTGAGAAAAACCATTTTTTCTCGAATTGATTTGCTCTGTGAAAATACTTGGAATAATTCATTGCTTGAATATTTTCTCAGAAAACTTCAAATTTTGCTAATAGATTCGGCCTACGAAATCATTTTAAGTATTTCAAAGTTTCGTCGCTTGAATACCTTGCCTTGGCAATTTTTTAGCCAATTTAGAAAATGGTGTAACTTAAAATTGTTCGAAAGTTCATTGCTGGGTCTGCATGATCAAAAAATCAACTATTTTTGCGCAAGCAGATTGCCTTGATCAACGTCTGACAATTAAAAAAATCATCTTTGCTAGTTTTTGCCAAAACTTAAAAGTTTGATGCTTTCAGTATTTCATTTGTGTAAGAAAAACCTTGCAAAATTCAGGTCGTTTCCGATGCATTAAAAATGCATGACGATCAAATCTTTGGTGACTCTAGTTTTGAGTGAACAATGATTTTTGTCGCTTGCGTTCGGTCGGAAACACATCCCGCATATAAAAAAAAGAAAAAAAATGATTATAATGAATTTTTGCTGTCTAAAACATTGTCAATATGATCGATTCCCATGTTAGGCTTAGAAAACAAAATTGGACAAAAAAGTTGATTTGAATCAATTTTTTCTGGCAAAAGCATTATGCATTATAATTCATTTGAAATCCATTGTAATGGTTTATAAAACAAGTACAAAACCATATTAAAATGGATTTTTTTCCACTTTGTTTTTGTTTCGTGTCGTGCAAAATTTTGCAACAATTTCTGCATTTAACCAATGAGTAATGCAAAAATCTTTGCAAAGGGAGTGTACATTTGGCTCTTTGCTTCCTTACAACCCCCATTCTATCGTTTGCCTCTTTGCTCCCCCCACACTTGAACCCCCCCCCCCCCCACCTGGCCTGCTGGGACCCCCCACGCTGAACCACTCCGCCCTATCTGAGTCACCCGGCCCCACATCTGAACCAACAACCCCCCATCCACTTGAATCCCCCTCCACCCTCTGGTCCGGTTGATGTATGGTGAATGTGGGTGTGTGTGGTGTGCGGGGGGGGGGGGTGGGTTGCGGAAGGGATTCATTTGGTTGAAGGGGGGGGGGGCAGGGTTGGCATTGTTTCAGTTGGTGGATTGCGGGTGTAAGGGTACAAAGGGGCAAAATGGCAAACATTGGAGGGAATTCCAGTGGGCAATTGTTGAAAGGAACAAATTTCAGCTATTAGTAACATGAAAAAAGAAACAAAATTATCAAACTTTTCAAAAAATCAAAAATCACCAACCTTAATTTAAAACGTAGAAAAGATTTTATGTGCATTGGAATTCACATCTGAACAAAGTGAGAAAAACCGATTATAGTTGAGTGTCCACAAGAGTAAAAAAAATCGATTATAATGGATTAAGAACGAATTTTGTTTCCTCGAAAAATAGTAACATTATAATTCATTTTTAATTGATTGTAATCAATTTTTTCCCTTTTTTGGACACTGGCAGTGAAACTCAATTATAATCGATTTTTGTTCATGGAACTCCAATGCGGGAGTAAAAAACGTTCGAGAAAGTAAATTTTAACAAAACCTTTTTTTTGGTTCATGAAAAAATGCTAGTTATACAAGTTCCATGGACGAAAAAACACTAATCATTGACCTTTCAGGAAATTTTTTGCACTTGGGGAGTTGCAGCCAAAGTGCATGACTAGCATTTTTTCATATATGAAAATTGTATGATTAGCATTTTTGTCAACCCGGTAATTCAGTTATTTTGAACATCTAATCAATCTTATCTTTGATGTAATCTTTTTAGTATAATGTATCCGACTATGCTATTCCAGTCTTAATTTTTCGGTGTAACAAATTGTTGAAAGTTTTAAAGCTTAGACTTTTCAGGCAAGTTTTGAATGGCATTTTTTTGACCATTTTTTTCTAGCCAGAAAAGTAGTTGGGCTCAATGTGTTTCTAAATGCAACTATAAATCTGTTGGTCGAAGCTGCCAGCTGCTGCTTCCACTTTTCACGCTGAAAATAAGCAGGCGGAATTATCTTATTCGGAAGTATACTAGAGTAGACTACGAAGCGATTTTCAGAGGATAATTGTGTGTAATAAAAGCAATAAGCTAGCTAACTGATCAGACATATTCCACTTAAAACATACTTAAGTTATAGTAAATGGAACAAAGGGAACCAATGAAAAAAATTTAGGTTACCTCAATGTTTTGACTGAACGAAGAAAAGAAAACAAACACACACTTAGAAAAAGTTTTTAAAAACAATTAATGCAAATATTCAGTATCATATATATAGTTGCGTCAATTTTAATGCTTAAATTTCTGACTTTCAAAGGAAAAATAGGTAATTTTTTGGCTGATACTTCTGAAAGAAGAACTTTTTTTGCTTTTTAGATGGACAGTTTGCGCTCATTTTACCCTATTATCCTTATCTACAATTGAAGACTATCTATTTTGAAAAAATGGAGTCTGCATCGGGGAATCAAACTAGCAGTCCATGTTCACAATCACCCCTCGAGTGTCCCGACTGTGGGATCAAACTGACAGGACAGACCCCTGAACTACCTTGTGGACATTGCATCTGCCTCATATGCGCCGAGAAGCTAGAGAAAAGAACAGAACAGAAGTGTCCGGTGCGACAGTGTCGCAGCCATCAAACTAGCTTCGATGAGCGTATCCGAGTTTCAAACTTGCCAGTGAGGCCCATAATTGCCTTCATGATACCACCTCCTCCATACGAAGGCAAGCATCTATTTTTTCGGTACTTTAGAAGAACTTTCAGTTTTTGAAGGATATTTGTCGCATAAATTAATGTCACAAAGTTTTTTTGGGGGGTTACGACTTTTTTTTCCTATTAGTTTTTTTTCTATTTTTTTTGCTTAAACATTCCGAGCAATTTTTTTTTCATGGTGATTTGATCGATGGTTGCCGCTATCTCAGAGTCTTGTCAGATTAAGTACAACGTCTGTTCGTCATGATATTCAATGTTCGGCCGGATAGTTTCGTGCAAATTCTCAGTCCAAAACTGGTCTTAATCTTTTGTTAGTTTCTTGGTCTCAATATATCCTAACAAAATATTGTGAAAAACGAGGTTAATGGGAAAAAGTTTTCGATATTAAGGTATCAAAATTTCTGACTGTGAAAAATCAGGGCTTATAATTTGGGAATTTATAATCATTTTCAATCAGGGGTGAATCTAGAATTTTCTCGAGGGGGAGGTTGGGGGGGGGGGGGAGGGGGGAGGGGGTGTTTATTGGGTTGTCAATTTTGTCGATCTTTTTACAGGTCGACCAAATTGAGTTTCCGAGCTCTCCCAAATCAATACAAAGACCCCGTTTTGGTCAAATTTTCTGTGCCGCAGGCGAAATTTAAAAAAAAACAGGCCAAACAGGCTTTAAAGTGTTTAGGGTCTGTCATCAAATCTGGATATCTCTAAATAGTACAACCGGGGACCCTTTGGGTCGGTAGGGGTCGAATCCATGAGAAGAAGAGGGTACGCCTCCACCCCCACCCCCGCCCCCTGAATCTACCCCTGTTTTCAATACGAAAGATATGGAGCGTGACGCAACGAATGAAACTCTGAATAGGTTGCCCCCATCTGGAATTTGCTTAAAATTTTTGAAGTTTTTTAGGAATAAAGTGTTTTGTTTGTTTCATACAAAAACTTTCGAGCAGTTTCTTTCTTCCAGTATCTAATTGAAATGAGATCGAATTGTGGATCGTTTTCTTCTCGTTTGTGTCTTTGTTTTGTTGATCTTCCATCGGGAAACATTTCAACGACAAGAGAGGGTTGAAGTGCTGGATTAAACATCTTTCCTGTGAAGGTCTGGTTGTTAAACTGAGCGCGGATTCATACGAGGGAGTCTGGAGTTTGATGTTTAGAATTAGCAGAGTATTTTGTTTCAGTGGGGTTCAAGAACCTCGCCACCCATTTGAAAAAAATCATTTGGTGTTATCGTCATATTTATTTTTTCACAAGCTTATACTCAGTTTTTTAAGTAAATTCTTTGACTAATTGCAGAATCTTTTTCTTAATAGTTTGATATTTTAGAGAGCGCTCCAAAATAACCACTCTGAGTAAAAATGCGAGGGATTTAAGCGTTTTTTCAGCTATATGGGTTAGGTCGGTCGGTATGGCTTATTTGGTGGCCGAGTCCGGTTGTGCAGACTATACTAATGGCAGTTTATTTTACCTTAAAACTTTGATCCATATGTCTTCTTGACACATATTTTGACACGTCGAGGGCTGAGGGCTTTCAATGCCGAGATAATTTATCCAGTATTGGGAAATATGGGTAAAAAAAGTCGAACGGGATTAATCTGTTTGCTCATCTTATGGGACGTGATTGACTGGACTTCATGCCTCTGTTTGTCTGAATAGCTGATACTATTGTGGTCGTTATGGACCTCGAGTTTACTCCCAATTATTTCAGATTGGATGTTTTCGCACGACCATACTATGGCTAGCACTGCTAATTCAAGGTGCAGTTTTCTTTTTCTGGATGTTCAAGAATCTAGCGGCGAAAAAAAACCGGGACCCAAGTGAAATCTGTTAGTTCCAGTTCCGGTGCCGCTCCAAGACAACTACTGCTGGCATCGCATTAAACTCTAGACCTCTTTTTCCGGTCATAGTGATGCATTTTTGTGATGTTAGAAATAAAGTTGAGAGATTCTTCAAAGCCGTTTTGTTGTTGCAATCCACCAGTGGACTTCTTTTTTTGCTCAATTTCAACAAATATCTGAATTACTCCGACATCATTTGAAGGTTAGCGAAGAACTCTAGGAGAAATTGAGAACGGAGTTGCTTTGAAGTGCGAGGAAACTGAAACTCTAAGACTGCTTGTGTTTCTGATACTTTAGGTTGGTAACTGTAATCGTCGATATAAAAACCCAACAGTAAAAAACGAATTACAAAAAAATCACATTTTGAAAGTTGAAGGGAAAACTGCGTAACCTAATAAAAACAATCTAAACAATTTCATTAAGGTCTTCTATCGATCTTTTTGATACAATGACTATATCAATTAGAAAACAGATTACGCTTTTGATTTTCTGTAGCGCAATGTCCACTGCTTTCTGGAATTCTTTGGGCAATCTGTGAGGCCATAAAAATTGTTTTAAAACGATAAAAACCCGTATACTTTCTGATATGTGAAAGTTGGCTAAAAACGTTTTCAAGGCGAGAGAAGTGAACAAGATTTTCCTGCAATTTTCCGCATCCATGATTTGCTCAGCGACAATTAACAGCTCTGAAAGGTTGATTTTTTTAACCATCTATTTTGATTTTGGTAGATATGAGCGTTCATTTGCTCTAGGTTCATAGCTAGTTCGATCGATCTGTCGTGTCGTTATTGGCTTAAATGACCACTTCTTTTCTTTCTAGTCGTTGTGGTGTGTCGTCAAAAACTTCTACTGGATCGCTCAGTAAAGTGTCATTGTTGCGGTAATCTCTTAGGTTTACCGCTAATAAAACTGTTCTATTTGCGAATCCGTGGATAATAAAGATTCCGTTGTTGGTATGGACCAGAACGGTGTTACCCCCCTGCTGACTGCGCCATGAAGAATGTCAATTGGTACGCTCTCTGACTCCAATAAAGTCTGATACAAAGGTGTTGCAGCGCAAATGTAAATGTGCGAGAGTATAAATGCATATAAAAGTAAATACATACAGGGACAGTAGCCAAGCGTATACATGGTGCGTCCCGGCGGGTTCGGCGCCGGTTCGAATCCCGACTAGGTCATTTCCTTTCTAGAACTCGAATGTGCACCGAACCTGATGGGATGCCCCGTAACCAGGTTCGGTCCCCCCAAAACCGATTTTAACCGTCTTTTCGCTCTAATTTGGTTCAGCCTTGATTAAGGCTGACCTTTAAAAAGAGCAATTTGTCTCAAGGACAAATACTGGCCATTTTTGCAGCTTGCTTTGATTTATGCAGTTTTTGTGGCCGATGTTACCGATGATAAAGTTTGTTAAAATTATCGTTATATTTTCAAATTTCCGTTATATTTCCGGAGTTATTTTGCCGAGAAAATACTCATTAATTAAAGTGTTTAAAAACCGTTTTTTTTATAATCTTGGAGATTGACGCGCACAAAAGGAGATTGAACTGCTTCAACACGCAATGTTCAGTAAAATTAGTCTGCATTCTTTCATCAGAATCAGAAGAGTGATATTCACACTCAAAACAAAAGACTAATTCGGTCTGCAGGTTCCGATCTTGTCTATTAAAATTCATTCAAAAACAAAATTCATGGATTAGCTCTTCGTCTGCAAAAATAGCACATAGTCTTAGCACTCCAGATATCAGGTGCTATGACTATGTGCTAATTATAAGATAACAAAAGAAAAATGTCAGTAATACTATTATAAATGCATTTAATTATGTTATTTGTTCTTTCTCTTGTTCTACATGTCCGTTTTTTCAATTCTCTTGAACACACAAACTGTTCTCTTTAGCATTGACGACGAAGAAACTTCCCCTGCCGAAACGGGAATGGTTGCGCCTGTGGCAAAAAACGGCAGCGAGATTCCGTAACTTCCTTCACAACGTGGTTTTCCGGTTTTCCGTAGAAAAATTTCTGTTTCTTGCTAAGACCTGAGGAACTGGACTAAGAACACTCTATCCAATCTTGGTTTTCTGCTAGATCTGGTGTGAATTTTTGTGGCGTTGTGTCGACTTTGTTGAACTCGAGTCCGGAGTATACTTAGAAAAAGTCAAAAAGGCGTTTTTGTTGGGTCCTTAACACTATATCATCCTCCGAGGATACTAGGAATTGGCCAGTTGTGAATACTTCGTTACTTTCCTGATTTTTTTGGCCTGACTGATGTTTACTCTGGTCGAGATAAGAGCTCATTTTTCTAAAAAAAAAATTGGGTGACTGGGGACTAGTTTGCTACTGGCGTTTTGATTATCCCGCTGTAGCTGGAAGATGATCTAATGAGGTCCACTTTTGAAATTGCTGCGGGGGACGTATGAGCTGGTGTACTTGTTGTGGCTGCTTTGGGCGCAATCTTCCGTGGCTTCCCTAGATTGTGAATGGAACTAACTTTTCTAGTCCTTTCTAATGACTTTCCCTGACTTAATGTTGGCTTTTTTGTCCCATTAACGTTAAGTTAGCTGTTTTCCCGATTTTCCGTTGCTACCTCTCTGTAAACTTCTACCGAATACGGATTAGATAAAGGTAGGGACTCAAGTTTACTTTTCGACTTCGAGGCGGCTTGCTTCGCTGGGTCAGAAACGAGCCTTAGCGTTCCTGACTTTCAATTGATTTCCGATTGAGGCTGCTATAAACTGGATCCGATCTCTTAGTGTACGCAGGGTTCGGCATCTCGCTTCATGTGACATGTTGTTTTTTCAGACCATCCACTTGTTGGTTTACTTTGCCAGTTGTTCCCGGGACTGTTTCAGACAATAAACTTGTTGCATGAATTTGACAATTGTTCCAGGGACTTACCCACAATATGTGGGCTACTCTGGTAACATTTTTTTAACAGTTTGATTCGTGATTTGCTGTCACACGTTTCTCTTCTGTCATCCGCTCTCAAAAGATCCCTCTCTAGATGTCGGCTTCAGTCTACCTGGTTAGCATAGCTGATGAATATTTGGAGAACCAGTCGGTAGCTAGCAATATATAAACCTGAATTGCTGAACCATCTGATAATGGCCCGGCGTAATCTAATTGGAGTTCGTCATGGAGATAACTGAACAGCGGAAGAGTTTTGTGTGTACAGAACGGGTGTT